AGCTCCTCATATTATGGACCGGTTTACCCGTTTTAAAGATGAGTATATTTGCCACTTTCAGACTACTGGGATAGTCTTGTAGCCTGAAAATGGCATTTATTAAATGGTAGATCTGCACGACAGCTTTTCTGCTGAGGTTTTTTAGTAGTATGTTACTAATATCGTCCGGGTCCAGAGCTCTCCCATTTTTGAGACATTTAATTACCTCATCATCCTTTTAAAGAGAGGTTGAAAAAGATTATGGCACTGGTAGTGGTTCCAGCTGTTCAAATAGAGTGCCGATGTGATTTTGATTGTTATTGTTCTTTTGAGGGTTGACAAATTTCGATTGAAAGTATTCACCGAAGGCTTGACCTTTGTCCTTATCCGTAGTTAGTAATTTCGGTCCCTGTCTCATTGTGAAAAGTAATGAATGCGGTTTTTTATACCTCTTCACGATTTTCCACAATGAGTTGTTGTTTGGTTTTAATTTGGATAGGGTATATTTGCCATTTTTTGTGTTGGTGGTCTCTTATCATATTAGTACCCTTTCCTTTTGTTTTCTATTTTGCTGCCTTTTTCTAATGTGATTTTTGTTGTTTATTACATCTACCCGCAATATTCTTATGGAAATTGGGTTTCTGTCAAATTGTCTGAAATTTTGATATATTGTAGATTTTGCCATCCTGAACAAAAGTCTTCATGGGCACAAAGTACCAAAATAGATATTTTGGCAGCTGCGAACATGGGCGTCGTTTGGGGGGGGCAAGGGGGGGGGCAGCTGCCCCCCCTGGCTTTTACGACTTAATCAACAACGCGTAAGATATGCATTACGAATAAAAATCTCATAGAAATAATATTCAGGATAATATAGTTTAAGAATATTATAGGTTGAATATATTTATTGCATATCTGGATTCCCTTATTACGTTGCTTATATCACGCTTTTCTGAAGACTCTAGTGTTAGTTTTTCCTTAAGCCTGTTACATCCAAAAATATAAAAAATAATACTTTTTCACTGCCCATCAGAAAATGAAAATAGTGGAAAAATTTGGAATTGACAAGCTAAATACCAAACGTGGATAGCTAACTGGAGTACGAAAGAGCTTTCTGCACACAATGATATAGCGTCCAAACATTGTGAATTTTATCCAGACATACAAAGAGCTTTAAAAATATGTATGGCTCTTCCACCAATGAGTAGTGATGTGATCATTGGAATGGTAAATCATTTTTCATAGTATTTTTAAAACCAGTGAAAACTAACTGTTTTTCTCAGTTTTTTTCGGGATAATTAATATACTCCTAAGAATTTTAATTCTTACTGGCTTTCAAAATACTGTTTTCACGCTGAAATATGACATTTCTTACGAGAGAAATCATTTAAAATCGTTTGAAAAAAGGTCACCAGGTGATTTGTTAAAATATGGAGCAGAAAAGGCACTCAAAGTTGCTTATTTTCTTCCAGTAGGATACACATGCAACGTTTTTGCGTCTTCTCTTTTAGCGTATCGCGTTCTAATTGGATAGATCTCTATTAAGTCGGGGAACCACCCAATCACTAAAAATCAAAAGGGTTGCATAATAAATAAAAGTAAATATTGATGTATGACGTTTTAGACTTTGGTGTACTGCGTTCTAATTGGATCGTTAACTGTCACACATTGATCTTGACCTACCTAATCATTGATGATGGCATATAATAAATCATTCGAATAATATGATTCGAATACTCGAAGAATTCAAATTTTAATCATCCGGGTATTCTATTATGACGATCATTCGATTATGTCCATCACTACCAACGACATCGTCAATCGAAAGAACGTTTAGCACGCTAAGAAAGGCATGTTAAAACATGCCTGCGGTCTATTCGCTCAGTGCGAAATCATGGTAGGGGAAGCAAAAGCTAGAGAAATTTAAGTTCTCTAGGGCGATATTTTACTTTTTTCTTAAAGTATAGGTAAAAATTATAAAATAAGCCTTTGATTACTGTATATGGCTGAAATGCAATCTTGTAACCTATTGATAGAAATCAGTAATTCCTATGGGTTCTTTCGAACCAAAAATAAAGAAAATATAAATTATAATCGCAAATATACCAATTATTTTTGTTAATACGTTTTGATTCTACGTTATTATATAATGGTAATGTTTTTATTTTGACATTATTTAACCTTTCCTTTAATGACAACTTAATAGGCTTAGGCAACATCTCATTCATTTTTTCGTTAATACCTGCCTGTTTTATTATTGATTTTTATTGATTGTACTACTTTTTTTAGCTGAAATAATAAAAATATATAATAATAAATAATTTTTTTACTTGTTTTATAAATCCGTAAACTCTTTTTAAAATCGACATATATGTTTTTTAATTACGAATTTTATTAAAAATTGTATTGTCAGTAAGCGCAAATATCGTCCGTTAGTTCATAAAATAGTTGGCGCTACTGTCACGCACGGAGCGAATAATGAATAAAAATAGGCTGACTGGCTATGCATGTACATCGAAAAATAATCAGAGGAAACAAAAAGAAATTATGTTTTCAGTTATCGATGTTTTTGGTAAAGAAAAAGGAAATTTAAAATTTCTCGTTTTCCTAGAGTTTTTTTGTGTTCATCGACGTGTTTGAGTGTTTTTTATGTTTTTGTGTTTTTATTATTTTTATTATTATTATGTATGGCTGTGTGTCTTCTTGTTCATATTTTTCTTTTATATCACACCCTTTGTTTTTTAAAAATGTGTTTTAAGTTTTTTGTTTTTTTTTTTATTTTAGTTTTTGTCATTTTTGTTGGGTTATTTTATTTATTAGAGACTTGTTAATTTATATTGCTCTTTTATTTTTTATTTTCTTTGTTTTTCAACAAATACACATTCTAAATTTTTTTCAAACTTTTGCCCCTCCCTATAGAATTATGTAACGACGCCCATGGCTGCGGAGCTGCCAAAGCTCCCCTGACCCATTGCAAAACTATTTATTTTCAATACTATTTATAGATGTCAAAAGCATATTTTAATTATTCTAATATATAGGGTAATGTTTTTGAGGTCACTGGATTCAACCCATGTCAGATTGAACAAATTGACCGTTGACAGCTGTCAATTCACTGTCAAACGAGGAATATAAAAGTAAATATCCTCTTTTCACATTGAGAGTTTGAGTTTTTGAGGTCGCTGAATTCAATTCTCATGTCATATTGGACAAATTGACAGTTGACAGCTGTCCCTATATATTAGAATAATTAAAATATACTTTGACATCTGTAAATAGTATTGAAAATGAATAGTTTTGCAACGGGTCAGGGGAGCTTTGGCAGCTCCGTAGATGCCAAAATATTCATTTTGGAACTTAGTGCCTATGGAGACTTTTGTTTAGGATGACAAAATCTACAACATATCAAAAATTCAGACAATTTGACACAAACTCAATTTCCATAAGATTATTGCGGGGTCCTTTCAGGTGGCAGATTGTTAATGTGTAGTTTTTGTGTCTTAATTAGGCATTCCAAACTGAATGGCTACCAGTGGGTTTTGACAGGTTATGATATGGCAAAATTATGGCAACCCTGTAGGCCTGGTGATTTGACAAGGTCACTGAAATAGATAGTTACATAGATTGATCATCCATATTTTTCAAAATAAACATAAGCTTATGCCTTGAAGTAAAAATGAAAGCAATTATTTTTTTTAAATTCTGAAAATTGGTTTTAAAACACATTTTTGCTGAACCGATTTAAATTATTGAATATTTGCAAGGCAATATGGCCGCTCGCAAACCACCAGCTTTGAGCAATATATATCTAAACTGTCAGTCCCCACTGGTCGTAGCCATTTGGACAGGTCGTTGGAATACCTAATTGTAGTTGTATCATCTTTAGTGTTTTGTATGTTCTTTATTAAAATTTTGGTTTCATTTCCTTTTGTTTCAACTGTTTGAATGTTGTTGTTTATTACTGTGTTCGATATTGTGTCCAGTTTGTTGTGATATAATCGTAGTATCGTTTTTGTTGTCTTTGTATTTTGTTTGTGGTCCATATTTTCAAGCTCATGGTCTGATTTTTCGCATGTTTTGCATATTAGGAATGTTCTTAGCTACAGAAATGTCCAGTGTACCTGTATTATATCTATCATAGGCTGGGAATATGTCGGTTCTTCAGTGTAATGTATTATTAAGTCGTTATCCTTGGCGAAGTCTCTTTCCTATAAAAGAGTACCGATTAAATCGTATCCATTTAAGCAGTTTTCTGTTTTAAAATTATGTATAAAACACATGACTATTTTGTAGAAACTGAAATAGAACAAAATATAGACATAACCTCAAAAATATTAGTAAATATTTTACCTGGAGCTTGGAGACGTGTTTTGTTAACAATTATTGAATTGACACACATACTTCTGATTTATTTAAATTTGCAATTTTATTTAAACACGGTTTTTAAACAAACAGAATTAAAATTGTCTTATGGTGAATTTGACAGCTTAATTGTAAACGTAACGTAGAGAAGACATAAACACTATTTTGCGATATGACAAGTGAACGCATTTTGATTCTTATTTTCATCAATTTGACGTTAATAATTTTATATTTGAAGATTAATTGAATGAAAATGATATTTAAAAAAAAACTGTTGAATTTTAAGTCAAAAATATACATTATTTGTCTTTTACTTTCTTTTGAAATGAATTCTTTTGTGTGGTAGAAAGTGCTAATAATTTTCGGAAGACAAATTTCTCCGTCACTTTATTTTACCGCGACGACGATACGTGATTGGATTACAAAATCAGTTCTGCTTGTTATTATTCCACCGAGATTTCCACCTTCTTTCCACTCATTGTTAAACACGGTGTGGTTTTAAAACTACGAAAGAATAAAATTTAAAAAAGGAAGCTTCTAACGAAGTACACTTTGTTATGGTCGATATAACCACGTTTTACATAAAGATGCAATTTTTTTACACCTTGTATTAATAAATGTATTCTATCACTAACGTTTATTTTTTGTATTTAAAATTCCAGGCTTGCGAAGTTCCTGCTACCCGGAACTCCCACTACATTTGCACAGACGATGGGGAAGTAAAATGTCTGCCGGGATGGATCGGCGACCTTTGCGACGTCCCCAAATGCCGAGCAGGATGCGATCCCATGCAAGGATATTGCAATCGACCAGGCGAGTGCATCTGCAAACTGGGATACTACGGAGAAAAGTGCAATAAATGTATACCATTACCCGGTTGCCAACACGGGTATTGTAACGTCAGCTTCGAATGCGCTTGCCATGAGGGATGGGACGGGATTTTTTGCTCCGAACGTAAGTCGTTTAATTTCAGGATTTAAAAGGATTACCCGTTGTTTTTTTCAGTTTGTTTTTGAACGGAATTTAGATTATGGCGTACAGGAGTAGGATAATTTTAAACTGCGCCAATTACACACCAGATCTTTGTTCAGTACAATCATAAAAATAGGTATATAAAATAGCGGTTTGTTACGGGATGGAAATCTTGTTTAGACAGCAATTTTTAGAAAATATATGACGAAACAAAATTGATCAACTGAGGTAGTCTAAGAGTAGATGAAAAATATTTTTTGTAGATTAATAGCAGAGATAATCCAGCGAGACGTGTAACTCAATGTAATTTTTTTGTTCGGTAAAAGTTGTTTGGGCGATTGTTACCACAACCAGCCTATGATGGCGCCACTAATAAATAGCGGGGAAATTTAAAAATGCTTTAGGGCGGGAAATTCAAACATGGATTCAGAAATAAATAGTTTTTCTATACAAAGGAGAGTATCGTTTTAAATGCGGATGTTTTGGGTTTCTCATGATTTTTTTTATACTTCAAAAAACTTCAAAATTCTAAGGGAGGAAAGCGAAAATTTGTTTTTATAATAAAAGTATAAGCTTAAAATGAATTAAAATTCTAAATTACGTAAAAGGTCTTTACAAAAACATACCACATATTCCTTAGACCAAAATAAGTCGATTTAAGTAAAATTACCCTAGTACAAAGTTGCTTCGTTTGGGCTCCAGAGGGCCTTGAAGTTACAATTTTTAAATCGTTTTTCCCATATAAATTTAAAACGGCATATTATGTGATTTTGCTGAAATTTGGTACATTGTGAAATGAAATAACAAAAGTAAATTCTAATTTGGGACGAACTGTACACTGTGACAATTAGTACAGTAACTTTGTAAGTAAAAAGAAACATTAGCTGTTATAAGTGATAAAAAAAAATATTAAATAAAGATTAAACAATAAAGGTTCATTTAAAAAAAATCACTAAAAAGTAAACATAATTAAAAAAAAATCACATTGCAATGACCACAAAAAGTATCTCAATGACATAAAAAAAAAAACATATACGAACCTACCTTTACTTTTTTCTTTTTTTTTTTTGATGATTGGTATCCAAGGGATAACTAAGGGGTTGTTGATTTTGAGATGGAGTTTTTGACAAACGTTTGAGATTTTTTTTGAAATTAAAATTGGAATTCTTGATATATTTTAAGCAGTTACAACCTAAAAATAATAAAATATTCTTTCAAATTTTATTATGTACATCCTGGGTGAGTAAAAAATTACCTACCGTTAACTAGAAAGAGCAAATCGTGTATTGAACTCCGGTCACCGAGCAGACAGACGATTCTGTGGGAATCAGCCATTTCGTCCATGTCAGTCCATGTTGAGGAGTATATTTCCAATTCCTGGAATTAAAATAACTTTAACTAGGAAAGAACTGAGGTTTTAGTGAGTAAAATAATTTAAACAAGTTGATTAAAAACGATATTGCAAGCTACTTACTTTTAAAAGTTTTTTTTTGAACAGTTTATTAATTGACTTTCGGTTTTTAAACACAATAAACATTTTGTTACGTTCTGTATTCTGCATTGGTGTAAATAAATTTTTTAAATTTAGGTTAGATGTATAGAGCTCTTTACAAATATTTTAAGAAGGGTAATTACAGAAAGCTAGTTTTCATTTTAACTTAAGTAAAGTGATTCATCTCCAGAGCACAGCATACTGTAATATCCTCCAATAGATGGCGTGTCCGCCATTTTCTATCCACAAGATTAATTATGAATAATTTTTTTATTGTTCCTATTTTATATCCAAATGTTAAAATGATTGATTTATAAATAAAATGAAACTAATATTTTTGTAAAAGGAATATTTTATTGATTAATTGGGAAAATAATACTCTAATCGAGAAAGGTAACTTATTAAAAAAATAATTTCATATTAACAAGGAATAGCGCCAGAATCCAAGACCCATGAGATAATAAGAGTAATAGCCGGAGCAATAACAAAAATTAATAAAGGTAAATTCGTATAACTAATGATATGGTTGAGTAATAATTATTAAGTAAAAAATTATCAAGTTAAACATAAAAAAAATATATCACACTATAATCATCAATATAAACTAAAATCTGGACTATCAAACTCATATCAATATCAATTGGTATAGTTTTATGTGGCAAAAAAAATGGTATTAAAATTTTGTCCGATAATAATACATAGGCGTAGAACTTGATTTTTAAATAATTGCACCTTTAAAAATTCTATGCCAATGGAAGAAAAGAAATTTGAGTATGAAATTTAGATTGTGCAACTCATTTACTTTAAAAAAGGTACTCTTAATAAGACTCGATTACTCTCATGGTTTTCGCTAAATTTCTGTTTTAATAATTTAGAGTGTATAGGTTTCACAAAAATATTTATTTACAACATAATCAAAATAGAGATTTTACAAAAATTGTTCAAAATGTTCACCATTTTCACGCATACAAAGATTTATACGTCGAAGAAAATTAAAATGTATCCTTTCCATAACTTCTTCATCACCTCTAAGATTGTTTATTGCATCTTGAATACGTTGCCAGAGTTGTTCCTCATTTTCTACAGGTTCCCTGTAAACTGTGGATTTCAGATGTCCCCATAAAAAGTAATCTATCGGTGTTAGGTGTGGGGAACATGGTGGCCAGTTTACAGGTGCGTCATTACCTCTGCCTATCCATTTGTGTGGATATTATTCATTCAAGTGGTTTCTAACGTTTAAAGAAAAATGTGGTGGAGCTCCATTTTGCATAAACCACATATCTCTCCGAAGTTGGAGAGGTAAATCTTCTAACAATTCTGGCAACGTATTTTGTAGAAAATCCAAATAAATTTCTCCAGTTAATCTTCGTGGAAGTATGGCAGGACCAACAATGAAATTACCAATTATTCCAGCCCACACATTAATTTTGAATTCGTCCTTAAAATGGTTCATCTTTATTGCATGCGGATTTTCAACGGCATAAACATGTTCATTATGGGTATTAGTTATACCTCTTCTTGTAAAACCCGCTTCATCAGTAAAGAGAACGTTCTTGACAAAGTTTGGATCTTTTTCTCTTTGCATATTAACAAATCGACAAAAACCCAAACGAATTTGAGGATCATGGACTAATAATTATTGTACTGGCTTTTTATGGTATCGGTATGGATATAGCAATTGTTCTCCAAGCACTTTATGAACGACATCTTTACTCACTCCTAGTTCCCTTCCAATTCGTCTGGTGCTTAATTCTGGATCTTCTTCAACACGTTCTAAAATGTCTTCTTCAACTTCAGGAATCCTTACAAAACGTTCTCTTATCACTTATCACAGGAAAACAGTTACCTAGCGACAAATAGGTAAACAAAAAATAGTTACTAGCGTAAAATGTACCTATAGTAGGAAACTAATGTACACTAATCACAAGTAAATAGTTTACTAACTGTAGGTCATCTAAAAACTAATTGAACTATTCACCAACCAAAGGTGACTAATTTCATAAATCTTGTTTTACTAAGCATAAATAAACCTTTTACCTGTCCCATATAGCCATACAACATTTTATTTGCGGTAAGTAAAAGTTCGCTAATGGTTAGTGAATTCTATCCTTGTATATGGCTGCTCATCGCTTCCTTTTTATGTTACTTCATTTGAAAGCCAATTTTATTAGTAATCCACTGCACTACATAACGTTAACTTAACCAAATCAAAAACTTTAAATAAAAAGGTTACAAAAAATAGTAGATAATAAATTAACTTTATTTTGTTGCAATATGGAGATATTTAGTTCAATGTTGTGTGGTACATTAAATTACCAATAAAATTATAGCTTTCAAATGAACTATACACTTAGGTAACAATCGTTCATCCCGCTAGATGGCACTAAAATCAAAAGTAACGCAATGAGGAGTATTATTGCTGAATTCCCATTAAAACTCTCTTTTCAATGAAGTTCCATGCAGGGCCACCGAAAGCCAGGTGGGGGCCCCGGGACAATTTTCCAGATGCCCCCCCCCCGCGACATATTAAGCCCTTTCAAAATCACATTTTTTAAAAACAGATCCTCAAGCAAAAACTTAGATCCTTTTTAGTAAAAAAAATTTTTCATCTTCCATTTTACATAAACCAGCACTCCTCTCTTTTATGGCTAACTTCTAAAAAAGTAAAACGTCCTCATCTAAGGCGACTGAGCCCCCCTTGTGCCGCTGCCGGACCCCGAATTGTGTCCGGGCCTTGGAAATTTGTCCAGGTTACCCCCTTCTCTCCGGCAAACATTACTATTCAGTCAATTATCTTCTTCTTTTGATGCCAAATCAGGTCTCCCCTCCCCTAACGTTGGCAATTACATTGCCGAGTTCGCTATTTTCATCTAATCTAAACAATTGTTCGGCACTGCGTATTCCAGTCCAATTGCAAATGTTCTTTAGCCGTGACAGCTGCTTCATTCCAATTCCTTTGCGGCCCACGATTATCACTGCTCAAAAATGCTGAAAAATGGAAAAATAACTTCCGTTAGGATATAATTTAGTTATTTCAGCAAAATATGCATTTAACATTGTTTAGAATACTTACATATTGTATATTCATTTCTGATGGGAGTATGTGTCTTAGAATACAGAAAGAAAATATTCTCAACTTATACTAAGTGCGGTCCTGTGCCTACTACATGCTTGTAAATCAGAAAATGGTATTTTAAGTGGTGGAACCGTTTTGAAGTTTGCTAACAATAATATAGTCGACTGTAAGTGACAAGCAGCTGTACACAGTTAAAATGCTACTAACTTAATAAATTACTACTCCTATTCTTTTTCATCTGCCAATTGAATCAATTCCAAAAAATCTAAAATAATTTTGTTTTAAAAAATAACTATAGTTTCTTTTAAATTAAAAATGTAAACCATTAAATTCTTATATTGTTTTCCGGTAAGAGCAGAGTACAATACTACAATCTAAATTACTTTACATTCTTGTTAATATTGGGTATACGTT